ACGCCAAAGTTCACGAGAAAGAGCCAGGCGCTCATGAGCTTGACTTCGATTTTGCAGCATCCCTTGTCTTGCTGAATTCTTTCCAGCAAGCTCTCTACCAGAGTCTGCTGCATTACCAAGACTGCACAATAGTCAAGAAGCATGAAAATGACTCCGCGTGTCTCTCTTGAACTTGGCAATGTCAAACGGCACAAAGCATAGACTGAATAGACTGATTTGGGCCCAACAAGAAATGGCAAACATCCAGCTAGGTCAAGTTACATAAGGAAGCAATGCAAAGCAGGAAAGAAGACAACGGACACATTCCACACACAGCACACTGGAACATGGCTGCTGCCATGCATCGTTGGATCCTCAATATGCCAAATTAGAGTGACGCCAGGAGTCAGAAGAATTGAACTCTGCCGCTCAAGAGTTTTGGCACAACATTATTGCAACTGCATGATTCAGCAATCGAACCCTGTGTCCGCTTGCTTTCCTCAATGATCAGTTGCAGTCTTCTACAACTATGTCTCTGTCCCCTTATCCTTGTATCAAAGTTGAAAGACGCCAAAGTTCACAAGAAAAGAGCCAGGCGCTCATGAGCTTGACTTCGATTTTGCAGCATCCCTTGTCTTGCTGAATTCTTTCCAGCAGGCTCTCTACCAGAGTCTGCTGCATTCATTACCAAGGCTGGTTCAATATTCTGGTGAACGAAGAGAGGACCAAAGCTACATGGAATTCTGTCTCTTGCAAAAAGCTTCCTGCCTGTCTCGGGAGAGAGCGCCACAAATTGACCCCAAGGCTGCTCTAACTCCTTGGAAATCATGTCTAGAAGTTTGTCCAGTGTGCGAGTCTCTGTGAAGAATGTTCTTTCCCTTTTGCCTAAACTTTCATTTAACAATATATATATATACACACTCATGTCATGCATCATGAAAGAAAGGCAAAGGGTGGTTGCCTTACGACTACATGAAGCTTCTACTACTTCCCTGGATCAGGCAAAGTAACTTAACACAAATACATAATTTGCCGGTGATGAAAGCAGCGAACCACGGCAAGGCTGCTTTATGTACAAGACATGTTGTGATCTTAACTTCCAAGCAAAGGAACACAAAGCCCAACGTGGGATAGGGAGACCCTTGTTGTCCCAGGAAGGTAGAAAGGACAACAATAAAGTTACCTTAATAGAATTATGTTTCTTGGTACAACTATCCTGTTCAAATCGTTAATGAATTCATGAAAGAATAAGACTTCCTCATCAGCCACGGAACCCACTCCAAAATCGGAAGCTTCGCAAGGCCTAAGGCCTTGAGCTCCGCCGCCGCTGCGCTGCGAGGGTGCAGCTTCGGGTGATTCCTCGTGTCTGGTGAACCTTGTGGGGGCCTAAGAAACAAGAAGCTACGAACGGGGCTCCTGGCATCGCTACTAGGAGCAAGGACACTACTGGGGGGCTCCTGGCCGTACTACTAGGAGCAAGTAGCTACTAGTAACAAGAAGCAACCGAATGGTGAGAACCTTGGAAATCTTGGATGGGAACCAAAACGCTTAGGAGAGAAGGGGCATCTTGGATGGGAACCCCGTCTACCTCCTAACGTCCAAATACCTACTGGTCGCTGATAGAAATATATAGATTCAGGTCCATCAAAAAAACTGTCGTGTGGCACTGTGGAGATCCAATGACCGTGACTGCTAGAAGTGTACTTAAAAAAGTCTGGGGTTTTCAAACAAAACACAACTATTTTTCCTAGTAGCGTCCTTGCTCCTAGTAGCGATGCCAGGAGCCCCTAGTAGCGAACATTGTTCCTTCCTCGAAAGTGGTGACCACCCATGTTCGTTCCGCAACGAGTGACCGATCAAGCAAGGCTCGTTTTACCGCTGGACCGGACTGAAGCTTCTTACAGAACAAAGACAATGTACATGCTCGCTTTGCCTCAATGTTGGGTTGGGTAACCGACTATGGATGACTAGGAGCAAGGACGCTACTAGTAGCAAAGGGCATCGCTACTAGGAACAAGGGCCTTACTACTAGGAACAAGAAGCTAGTAGAAACAATATATAAATTGGAATTAAGTTAATTAAAGGAGGCTACTGATACGAAATATGCAAGTCGCTGTTCTTGCAAACAACTCTCTGTGTGTGCGAAGATGTGGTGTCCTGAGCAGCCTCCGCACCGCAGCATCATTCGGCATGGGAGGAATCTCGGAAACGACCATTGTGAAAGGCCACAGGTGAAGAATCTGGGCACTTGGTGTGTTGCTGTTGTTAATGCGACACAAGAATGAGGCACGGCTTTCTACTTCCCCCTCCAAAATGAGGATTTCTTTGATACTGAAATAGCATGAAGTAGCTCTGCTCTCACACCTCTGGCCCTTGGAAAAGCAGGAGGGGGGCAAAACTTCTTTGTGGCTTTTTGAGCCCTGAGCCAAAGGCACATGAGCCACCACCGTGCTGTATGCAGCAGATATGCACATTGCAAGGCAGCCAAGTCATGTCGAAAATCACTGGCTCTTTCATGATCGCCTCGCATCATGACTTCACAATCGCCTCACGTTCGTGGATCGGACGATCCCTGGAGACTGGTAGAAGATGCAGTGCTGAAGTCCTTGACTTACATGGAGTCGATGGCCTCAGCCAAGACATGTGCAATGACCTCCTCATGGGGCAGCTCCCACAAACCTTTGTCCATTGTCATGCCGCACCAGTCAGTCACATGTTCCATGACACGTCGCAGGTTGCGCTGGTTCAGCAGTTGTCCAGCGAACCCAACAGTAGCAGTGAGGTGATATGTCTGATGCCACCAGTGGCCGGGAAAAATCAAGGTCTCGCCAGGCCTTTGCACGTATTCCAAAGGCTCTGAAGCCTTCAATTGGCAGCCAAGTGCCCATGTATCCTCGTGAGATGCCATGCCAGTGCCAATTGAGCATAGCTCGTGTGGCCCAGACTTGATACCAAACGGGCGACGGGTCGCTGAAAAGGCCGGTGAATCTGCCGGTTCGTGGCAATAGAATCTCCAAGTTTTCGAACCTTCCAGCAGACAATTCCAACCTGTCCAGGACAACGGATCTGCATGCAAATCTGATCTTGCTCCAACACCACCCAAGATCAGGCAGAGCGGCGACGGGCGAAGCATTTGAGGGAAATGCCTGAACCAGTCATCTTTCAGGTAACTGGGTGCGTCTTCTAGAAGAGCTTCTGTCCCTGAAGACAGAATATTTTCATCCATCACAAGGATGCTATCGTCGTGACAGGAAAACAGGAGCTGTTTCTGTACCTTGTGCAGAGAAGCTTTAGATTTGGTCACCACACCTTGACAATTCCGCTGGTAACACAACTCCACATCTCCACACTGCTCCAGGAAAGCATGCAAATAGGATCTGTCTCTACAGATCTTGGGAAAAGTGTCCCTCAAGACCAGAACCGTTTCACCATCATCGTACTTTGGCACATCTTCCACCTGCGAGATGGCCTGAATGCGGCACATTCGACGCTTGCCCAGGTTGCCCAAGGCACCGATTTCGGCGCTATCTCACCGGCCCTATTTAGAACTGTAGAACCAGACTTTAGGTCATAAAATGAACCCCAAACCGGCAATGACTCTGGTACTTCTCTGAGCAGACCGCACTCAAACAGTCTATCCAAGGTGTTTCGCAAAGTTTTGAGCTCGATGGCTAAGAGTCAAGTCTACAGTCCGAGACAAGGCATTATTATGCTCTGAATCATCTGGCAATCTTTGTTTCAAGGAAAGTATCTTAAAGTCAAGCCCTCATTGCGCTGCTGTTGAATGGTGCACGCACCAAGCCATTTTATCTCATGCAAACTCTGCATGGACTTGGGTAGAGTTGGAACTGATGGAAAGTGCTAAGAGCGGTTCCTCGTGAACTTTTGAAACTCCATGTGTGGCGATGTTCAAATACCTCGGACGTGGACTTGGAGGTCCTGGTAACCTGAGCTGCTTTGAGCTACAACAACCACCGGGTCAGGTGTTTGCTTGGAGTGTTTCGAGACTACAATAACTACTTCAGCTCCGATTCACCGCAAAGCAGTGAAGTCTTTTCAGGTTGCTCATGGTGGCCTTGGTTTCCAGCAATTCCATCAGTGCCTTTGGCAAAGAGGACTATTTCAGTATGCATGGAATCAAGGGTCCTCGCTGCTGGTATGTTCAAACACGCAGACACCCTTTCTTGTCTTCAAGAGCAGCAAGCTTGATGTTTGTATGGTCCAATTAGACTTCGCCCAATGACACATCCGCTTCGCCCCCATGATTCCATACGCTGTGCAAACTTAAAAGCCATGCGATCGGCTCCCTGGCAACTTGCATCAAGGAGTCGTTCGTCCTTCGAATCGGAAAACGATGTGAACGGTCAAGCGTTGAACGCGTCTAGGGGCTGGCACCCACGCGGCGAACGTCGCCAGTGCAACTTGTGCTTTCAGGCCACTCCCACGACGTAATCTCGTCAAGTCAAGATGTGTGTTACTAAAACCACATGATCTGCAACTCCTAGTGTTCATGCTGACAATTCCTCGGATCTAAGGAGGCCTCTTGTAAAGGTGAGGGCTGAATTGATCTGCTCATTCGAAGGGGTTGGAAGCCAAGTCTCGACGACCTCGACCTAAGTGAGTGTTCCAGCTGCGCAAAGTTTCAGGTGAAGCTACTTGTTGAGCAAAGCTACTCGTTGAAGGTGGAGCCCATCGTGATGACTGCTTCCTGCACGTTAGCGTCTTAAGTCTTAAGTTTGCAGCAAAAGCCCTGTATGAGCCGGCTCGACAAACTCTTTCGTGCACGTGCGAAAGCCTTCCATCCATGCCTTCCTCCAAACCTGGACACCTCCAAGTGCGCAGTGTCCTTCTGAAAAACAAGTAAGTCAAAACCCTTTCCATCTGTACATTGCTGTCTTCACTAAGGGTGGATGTTGCCCGCTGTCTACTCTGCTTCGGGAGCTCAGTCCATCTAGCCTGCCGATCTTGAGTCCATCCAGCTGGCGGCGTAGCTCTTGCTTGTGGTTCGAGTCGTGAATGGCCCTTGGAGAGTGAGGGAGATGTCGCTTTAGCCAAAGCAAAAGCTTCAAACAGGGCCGCTCGCAAAAGCTCTCACTACCGATCAATGATATGGCATATGGCTGTAGGCACCGTGGACCGTGGGCCAAGAATTGCTACTATTGGATGCGTAAAGCTACAAAGACACGTCCGTCCAGCCTCTTTGCGTGCAGCTCCTGCACAGCCATGTCCTTCAAGGATGCCTCAGAGAAGGCCGAGTCACAAGAGTTAAAATAAGAGACTGTGGCCAATAGGATGCCTTGTTAAGCCGCTAAGGCTGGGTGTTTGATCAAGCCTTTTGTCGTAGTCTCGGCAATTCACAGAATCCCAGCATTTGCATCAGGCGTGTTTCAGGCATGCCCTGAACATTTCACAAGCCCTTTCTAACAGAGATGTTCAGACTTTGTGACTTGCTGGAACTTTTTTGCTCGCGGATTCCGGCCATGTCTGTACACCTCGCAGAAGGGATCCGGATGCCCTCTCGGAAATCACACACCAAACATATCCCAAGGTGGATGTTACACCCACCTAAACATAATCGTCCCCATGACAAGCTGAGAATATCCGCTGCGCAGCAGCAAGGCGGGTCCAACATTAAAACAAGATAAAACAAGTGCGCTTAAGCCGCTCTGCCCCTGGCCTTCTTCTGGAGGCCCTGTCCAAAGTCGCACAGGCCACTGAATTGCTGCAAATTCATGGCTTCAGCTGTGGGGTCCTCACGCCCCTGCCAAGTCGTCACCCGCAGGGAATCGCTGGTCAGGCCATGGTCCAATTCGCAGTCAACCACATAGACGAAGTCGCATAAGAGCTCTTCTTCCGGGACGACTGGGAGCACATAGAGGTTCCCAGGCCCATGCTTGAACTTGGCAATGAACTGAGCCACCATGCAGTCAAACCCGTTACACACCGTTTCTCCAGCCTCCTCTTTCCTCTTTCGATGCTCCTGAACTTGTTCCACGGTCTCTTTCGGCCAAAGATGGATCAAGTCCGGGTTCAAGACTGCACTCTCAAGACCATCCAGGTCAGACAATCCATTTGTAAAGCGAACACCAGAAAGGAACTTTGCTAACTTGTGCCCAAGGCTGCTGTGGTCACCATCGCAATGAAATTGGGCCTTCAAGTAGATCTGCTTCTTCTTTCCACGGAGGCTACGGAATACTACCAGCCCACCGGTTCCCATCAGGTCTTGATTCTTGTTGGAGGTGTTGGCGATTTCCTTCTTGAGCCAAAATGACCTATCCCGGCTGCAATCCGTTACACCGGCCATGACGTGCGCATGTGAGCCTGTGTTTTGGCGTGCAAAAGCTTGTTGATGCATGGCCACCTTTAGATAAAGGAAGCCCATTGAGCAGTGAGCCCAGTGAGTCCCGGACTTTAAGCCAATCGGCAAAAACGCTAAGGCAATCTGTGCAGGGCACCTGGGAAACCGCGTGAAGTTGAAAAATCTGTAAGGCATGCTCTGAAATTAGCCAATAGCCAGTCCCAAAGAAACTACTCTTGGAAAACCACAGTGAGTCATTCTACACATTGTGGCTCCTGCCTTCTCGCTCCCCAGTTCTGACAATGCATCCAGTTGCACCCTGAAAAAAAAAAGCCAGATTGACGAATGCACATGAAAAACACAGAGTTGGCAGCGCCTCATCAGATTCGCTTCTCCTTGGCATTCCAGCAGCTCCTTTCGGGACCTGAAAACAGCAGGGGATCCCTTCTCTCTCTCTCTCTCTCTCTCTCTCTCTCTCTCTCCGGTCGACGCTTCACCAGTTCACCAGGTGCCCCAGCACTTGAAGCTCTGCTTGCAGGACGGCATGGGCATCTGCCTGCACCTCTCAAGCGAACGTAACGACAGACACCTGAAGGGACAATTCCAACATCTTCAACCAGCACGTAAAAAAGCAGATCTCATTAGATTCCAGAGATTCACATCGCAGGCGTCTCTCACTGAAGCCGAAAAGAACGACCTTTCCCCCTTCAGCAAATCTGGCCGAGAAGCCTCTTTGATGCGCATCTCCTCGAACAATGCAAAAGCTTGGGCCAAGGAAAATCTCAATTGAAGATTGTTCAGATTGGCTACAGAATGCCTTTATTGATGCCAGTTCTTCATCAGCTTCGTTTGGTTCACTGAAAACCCAAGGTCATCTTTGAGAAGCAGTCCCAAACGCTCTCCTCCCGCAAAGCAGTGCTCATCTGCTTTTGCTGGTGCAGCTCCTTGGTCAAGCTTTGAGGCGGTATCATACCTTCCCATGCGTGAAACCTAGTCCATGTTGAGTTGGATAGTTGGGAAATCTAAGCTAGATACAATGTGAATTTGGACAACTACCTCTTAGAGTGACAGGATACAACTATACAACATAACAGCAACCCTTACAAGAACACTTGCTCCACAACTGGACCAACCTTGAAGAAGAGACCAACCACTCTGGGTAGCAAGCTGATTCCAGAGTCCGGATTCGAGCATATGCATCTTCCAACCTTGGCTTCTCCATGTTTCTCCAGACTGCCCAGGCTACTTCTCTGGACCAAAACGGTTGGCTTCCACTTGGCTAAAACGTTCCAAGCCCAGCAGCTCCACAGAAACGCAGCAGCTATCGGGTGTGCGAAGCTCGGTGCCATCCTGGGAGGTGGTTTGGGACGTGCACACGTGCACGCGATTGCTCTGGCCCACAGTGTGAAACCAAATCGACAGAAATCGTAGACCCTCAGAGCTTTCAAGCTTTCCAAACATTCCGACTTGCAAATTTAGAAAGTGGCACCTGATCTGCATTGGTGGAGCGTGGAGTGTGTGTCTCCTCGTCCTCCAGGCGTTGAAGCTAGAGTGACGCAACAATCCGATGTCTGCCCAGCATTGTCTAGAGTCCTTATGTGTTGTTGTATTGCATCGATCCATTTACCAATCGGTCAAACCTGTCTTCCTATTACTACTTATCGGTCTATTAATATTGCTTGCTGCTCACGTGCTCCACAAAAGCAACCACTCAGCTTGATAAGAAGTAGGCTGCTATCTAGCACTGGCACGTACATGTTGTGCTCCCTTTCTCTAGGAGGACTGCCAGGCTTGCTATCTCAAAAATCACATAAACAGCTCAAAGGCGCCGCCGACCTCGGAATGAATCTCGAAATGCTCCGGATGACAAGGCAACCTGCATTCCCACTGAAGGCTGATGATGATGATGATGATGATGACGACGACGACGACGACGATGACGATGACGATGATGATGATGAACATGAAAGCAGTCACACCACCCAAACAGCATGGATTCTCAATTGCAGCATGTGAGGCACACGGTGACCGCACCTCAACTGATGAACTATGGCAGGTTGGGTGGAGCACTCCACATCATTCGCTGCTGGAGCTGGCTTGATTGACTGCCCAGCTAGACCAATCTTCTGCCGGCCCCATCTGAGCATCCTGTCACGAAACAGACTTCTTTATTGCAGTGAGAACAGTGAGAACGACGCTTTTAGGCAACGGCCGCCCGTTCTATCTTTGTCGTGACAATACTTCACTCCTCAGCATGATCTGCACAAGAACAGCGATGTCCATCGCTGCCTGCACAAAATCGGGTACCACAGCAAAAACCGAAGTTGCTCTGGCTGACGAATTGAGGATTGTGTGTAATGTGCTGTGCAGTTCGCATAAAACTCTTTCATGCACAGGCAGTTACACGCATGCAACAACTTGGGCTTCAACAATCATTCAAGACTTTGAGTACTCAAACTCGACTTCAGCGATGACAGAAAAAGATAGAAAAATAATATGCATTTTCATGACCTTCCTTGGGAGTCTTTCTAGCTTCCAGGCGTTATCCCCCAACCTTGAGCTGGGGCATGCGAACAGGCGAGTGCACACAATGATCACAAGTAACATGCCCCGCCGCCAGGAAGAAAAATGACAATGTTGACAACGTCCCGGTGGTCACACCACTATCCTGAAGAAACTTCAACAGGACGGCTGGACGGCTGAGATCTTGCGCGTCTTTCAAAGTCTCAAAAGAGTCTTCGCAGTGGGAAGCTTCAGAAAAGAAACAAGCAGCATTTTGATCAGACTTATAATATATATATATATTATGTGTATATATATATAAATGGAATCCCCTGCAGTATGGCCTCTGAACAGTCTTCCAGCCACCTGTTGCGATGGAGCAGCTTGAAAAAAACCACGTGACACCAAAAGAATAGTTGTCTTGTCTTTGTCTATCGGGGATACCATTCGGTGAGAACGCATATATAGCTTATATAGCCTATAGCTGACTCAACTACCCGCACACCTGTGACAAGAGCTCGAAGTAGCAGAAATCAGAAAACTTACATGATCACCCGAGGCTAGGATAGATCCCAAGTAGAACTAGCAACTACTGTTGAAGGCCGAAATCCTGCACCACATGGAAACCCCACATCACCTAAATAGATACTGTAGTTCTACTTGTCCCAGGTGGTTCAGGATTTCTTCGCCCTTGGCAAACCCCACAGTAGATGTGAGGGCACTGAAGGGGCACCTGAACTTCAACACCTCAACCTGGAACAAAGGCAGAACCTGGATTGGACAGTCACATATCCTGCCAGGAGGAACATTCCCAAGCAAAGTGCCAGCTTATCCACCTAGGAACTTGCCTAGGTCTAGGTCGTAGGAATGAGTATTCTGTTCCAGATCTGAAGTCTACTCCAGCCCTATCTGACCTATGCTTGCAAAACAGAAATGTCGGGACAAGCAAGAATGCTTACATCAGTATATAAATACTTATATCAAAAAAAAGACTTGGGCTAAGCTTCAACCACTCAAAGAAAAAACAAAGTGACCTGGTCACACCAGCTGCCATCGGCGCAAAGCGCTGTCGCCAGCACACAGGCTCCTCCCCCGAGACATGCAAAAGCGGCCACAGTGCCACAGCTTCTGTGCTTCAAGGCTGGCAGAATGGGTCTTCGTGCAGTGAAATGTTCCATCGGTTTTTGTTTGTCTGGTCTGAGGGATGCTAAGACCCTGTTGTGCCGGCCTCTATTCCAAGGGCCCAAGAACCTCACGTCAGCCGTCGGGAAGGTGTGAGTAGAGCCGTGAACCCCTGCCTGGCACGTCAGACAGCTCTGCAGAAAGGTCCTGGCCGTGCTGCTAGCAAAACATCACACATCTGTGACCGTGACAAATCTGGTGCATGATAAAACCACCTGTTGGGCTCCGTGAAACCTCACAACCAGAATCCTGTACCAAGACAAAACTTCACAACTCAATGAACCCGAAGCTTTTTGTGGATACAATCCTTCAGCCATACATGCCTCGTGTGTTTTCTTTTCTTCTACAGTATCGTGATATCCTATGCTTTTCCAGGGCCATTTTAGGGAGGCACTAGAACATACTTGATATAGCATTGAAACTTAAACATTGGTGTTTGACTGCGGAGCGCCTCCTGCAAAGACCTTGCGCCTGGCGCACGAAGAGTGATCACGGCAAAAAGAGGCCAACCTCCTTCACCTCTTCACCACGTTTCCCCCACTCCCACTTACTCTTCATGACTGTGTCTCCACATGCTCCTTCCACTGCCTTTTCATCTCGGCACTAGTAAGGTTGCCCGGCCTTCATCCTGGTGAATAGCATCTTGCATCCATTGAGGAGGCAAGAAATTTGGCCCCTCAGTTCACCCAGAACGACCCAAAACCAGCAAGGCTGCTAAGCCAAAGCACACAATCACACCAACTGGGGCAGGACATATTTTCTGTTTCAGCGGCCTCCGCAGAACCGCGCGGAGAAGGCAGCCGAGGAGCCGCAAATCCAAAGACAATGCTCAGGGCTGTAAGAGACGTCCAGCTTTGCATGGCGGAAACGCACCAGACACGTCCAGCGTTGCACCGATCTTCAACGTTCCACATGCATCACAGCATGATGAACACCCGTGACGAATCTGGTCGAACCAGGTTCAATCTCATCACAGCAATAAAATGAGCTACAGGCTACAGTACGCTAAATATTCAGCACCGTTGTGTCTACATTCTTGTGCACCTCTTTCACTTGGGTGTGTATGCCATCCAAAGTTATGAAATGTGTCACGTTTGAGCCCGAGAGGCTGCGGCATGCATGACAACATCAAACCCGAAAGAGGCATCACCAACTGAATTTGCCTCAACCCGCTCGACGCACGGGGGAGGCGTACCCTTGCACTCCAGGGCTCCTGGCGTCACTCCATTGACTCCTCTAAACGAGTACGATACCACAGAGTTAGAAGCTTCAGGAATTCAAACAGGCATGGAGTTTGGGTCTTTTCTCGCATTGTTTTGCTAACGCATTGTATGAAAGAGGTTATGTTTGCTCTGAAAACATGAGTTTCAACTGTTCCAAGACGTGAACAGACTACGTTGAAACGAGAAACTAAGTGGCTCTTTCTGATCCAACATCTGGCAAATCACAAATGTCATCACAGCATCAAGCCTGCGGTCTTGCTTGCCTCCCAAAGTTGCAGGAAAGGGATTGATTGTCAGGGCTTGCAATCAACAAGCAAAAATGGCTTTGTACCTAGCAATCTGGCAGTTCATCGCAAATGCAAGCTGCACCCATCGACTCAAAAGTCCGCGTCTACTCTCCAACTCGCACCTAGGTGACCTGCGGCTGGTCGATGGGGGAGGAGCTTCCAGCTCCTTGCAACAGAACATGCAAACAAAAAGGACTGCAAGCAACTTATTCTACACGCCGCAATCATGGCACCGTTGCTTTTAAGAATACAAGGACCCTCAATGACTCATGATGCGCACGTTTGCACACTGAAAATGTCAATAGCTAATTGGAAGAGACTCATGAAATGCTCGCATTCTTCAACTATACTGCAACCTTTTTGATTTGGATTCTGTGCCTGAATACCAGCTCTTGCAAAATGATACAGTCTGATTCTCTCTACTCGACTCCTGGCCTCTCTTGAGAACCTTACAGCCCAGTCTGGGGTCGCTGCTCGTGACTGCGACCAGCTGAGGTCACCCTGTCGCAGGGAAGAGAGTCTGGACATGGGACCGACGTGGACGACGTCCAAAGATGCATGGGATGATTTGAATTCTAATTAAACTTGTTTCTACTAGCTTCTTGTTACTAGTAAGGCCCTTGTTCCTAGTAGCGATGCCCTTTGCTCCTAGTAGCGTCCTTGCTCCTACCATGTCGTGGAAGGATGTTTTTTACACAATGCATGTCTGAACTCGATCTTTTCCGACTGGGCGAAACCCTTGCTCTCCGTCTGCTCTGACGAAAGCGTTCGACCTGGAGAATTCTGAAGCTTTGTTCCAGGGGGATTGGTTTGCTCCTTCGCGCAGCTAGGACCGCGGCCACTTGCTCCATTGCAGCATACATTCGGCCTGTTGGATCCAAGTCCTGCAGAATCATGCGCAACAAGCCTAAACAGAGTACAGCAAGTTTAAACACTGATGGTAGTGCAAACTAAAGAAGCAAGGTGACCGTCATGTTCGAAAGTCACAACAAGGATGGCACGGCCCCGTGACGCTTGACATGACTTTCACACTCCAGTCAATGCGACGTGAAGCGACGTGACAATAAGGGTGCTCTTTCTTCACAAGCCCAGTAAAGTCCATGAAACTTCTTCAGCACTGTTGCTCCTGTTCTCTCATGTCTGCGAGAACCTCCAGCGCTTCCATCCATTGCTTTGAGGAGGCCAAGGCAGTGGCCATAATGCTAAAGCCCTCAGCATCAGCTATGTCCTTCAAGCAACAAAGATTGGCCAACCCACAGTTCCTTTGTCCTTCATATCATCCATGGTGTTTCTGCACTACCCCGTTTGCAGCATCTGCAAGAACTCGCTATCTGTTTCGCGTGTCGCTTGGACCACTGCCTTCGCATCTCTCCACAGCCACAAAGCGCGTTGCCATTCTGAGCACAGCCCCAAAGCTGTGATGCTGGAGCTGAAGTGACGCGGTTCTGGAACCTGTGGGACGATCTGAAGTGGTGAGAAGGCCATCGTGTTCCAGCTCAAGTCGTCGACTCTAAACAAGGTTGAGAGTAGCAATATATATATATATTTATATAGTCGATTGATAATATGGATTGTGGCCTGTAGGAATGTCTCATCTTAGCACTCACCCTTCGCCGAATCGCCGAATTCCCTTTTTGCCAAAGTGCCAGGTCCCTCTTCGACATCTCTTCCAGCTGTTGGAGCGACTCCTGGGTCCAATCCGTCCGTCCTCCGAACACGACCGCCGACACGAAGCAGTGGACGAAGCGGTGCCTGCCACTGCCCCAAGCGTCCATAACACGCGATGGCCTCGTTGAAACCTCAGGAAAACAAAACCGCAAGTAGGTTGTTTCAACCATATAAGGCACAGTAGGTGTTGTGGTTAGCTCACAAATCACCGTGTGAAGAATGCTTGAACGGGTGGAGAGTAGACAAGGGCAAATATGCGCACATTGGGAGTCTCCTCAGACATTCATCAAGATGACGATAACTGTACTGTGTGAGTGTGTCATAATGTTGCAGTTGCTCGTGCTCAAAGTGTCGCACCTCTGGTTTCTAAGTGTCACACCAAAGGGAAAGAGCAATTAAAGCTTCATCTAGAAAATCCTAAAAGGGCCAGCAGCTTAAAAAAGAACACACAATTTGACCCTTAACCCTGCCCATCTCTGGCATTTCCAAGCCTCTTCTGCACCATCTTCTGGCTAGTGGCTCATGGCATCCGCAACCACGCCATCCTGTGCGAAGTTGTGGAAAATCTCCAGCGCAGTTGCAGGGGCGGAAGGCCCCACGGCCCCCCATCACGTGGTTGTGCGAGGTCACCTGAGCATCTCAAATCCTTGCAGTCACACATGACAAGGCCACTCTGTCTTTTTGGTGACAGCCGGTTATGCACTTGAGTCTTGAAACACTGACCTATGCATCCAAGCAGTTCAGCTTCATGCATGCAAAGATTTTTGCCAAGCTGCACTGAGCCCTGGCGCATTGCGTAGCAACATCCACATGGTCATGGCTTTTGGCCATGAGCAAGAGCCCATGATCTGCCAGAAGATTTCTCTCAGAAACAGGAGAAAGCTCAGGACTCTCACCAAACCCAAGCTTCACAAGCCCATTGAGCCATCACTACCCTAGGCTAAAGGGCCTCATGCCGCCTAGTGCCAACTTGTTGTCCACCGTCCAATGCTGTGCCTCTTTCACCGTGTCATCATTGGCCACCACCTCCAAGGCACGGTTTCACCAGGTGCTCAAGCAAACTCCCAATGGTGAAGCGAACACAAACGCTAAGGGGAAGGAGCAAACATGCGGGCCGTTCGTGCCGTGCTTTTCTTTCCAACCCCAAACATTCGGAGCGTGAGTCCAACACGTCTGAGGGATGCTGCAGTCACGTGACTCGGTTCGGGGTCTGTGAGTTCGGGTTTGCTCAGGCGGCGTTCACAAGAAAAGTAGGGTGCATTTTGCTTGGGTCTGCTGAGGCCCATGAAGCAGCAAGACTCAAGACATTGCCAGGTGTTACTCCCTGGCGACAAACAGGAACGACGACACGTATGTACAAGCCACGTACGTATGTACAAACCACATACGTATGACAAAGGATCGATTAAACGAGGAGATTCTTTGCACAAAAAAGATTGCCAACACGCAACGATCATGCTGCGGGTTTCTCGCACGCATCATGGGCCATGTATACAGGGTTCTGACGTGAGACTGAGACCGTTTGACCTGTCAAGCGAAACAAAGGAAAAGCAAAGGCCCCCTTTAGAAGTGGCCTGATCCTGTCGCATCATGTTGAACAGGGTGAAGGCAATCTTCCATCTCCTGATGTGATGTGTCTCCAAAGAATCTAGAAACGGAAGTGGAAGTTACAAAACAAAGGCTCCTGGTGATTAGTTGGAAGGCCATTGGAAACAAAAAGAAATGCTTCCATATAACATATGTCCAAGTCAGTAGTTTGCAAGTCACAAAGGCGAAGCTCATGGACTGATATAAACGCCATCACCAAAAGCCAAGCAACTTTTGCTCCACACAAGCACCAAGTGCAGCGTTGTAGTGGGCCGTCAAGGGTGTTACCTGCGTTTCTTCTGGGTGGCATAACCTGCTGGAATCCAGCAATCTCACGACTAAGCAGCAAATCATTTGGCTTCCCATGTTTGTTCCAAAGCAGTCTCTTCCTTGTGTTACAAAAGGCGCGTCTAAGGCTTGATTCCGCATGCTGTCAGCACTTGAGGCTTCCAGGGTGGAACATCACTGATATAGTTAATGGAGTCCTTGTTCCGACCCCCCCTGTGATGTGTGGTTTGGTCATAGTTCTAAGTGCCAAGAGACGCCTCACATCCGTCTGTTCTTTAATAGCAAAAAGGTCAGGCAAGGCCTCCTCTAATAAGGCCCCCCTTCAAAGGGGCCTTGTGAAGAGAGCCCCTCTCCTACTTTTTTTTAGCTTGTCAAAGCATGCCCAACTCCTCGAGGCCGTCAGATCTACGCATCAAAGTTTGCCTCACTGGCCCGCAGGATGTTCATTGTCTGCAGGCTCATGACCGGAAAGCTACTCTTCCTGAGTGCACATGTCTTCCAAAACTTGGAGGATTGACGTCACCGAAAGAAATCCATGTTGACATGTCTTGACATGGGATCCATTCAAAGCGTTCTGCCAGGCTTCGCCAACGTCTTCAGCACATGGGTTGCCAACTCTGGGTTCCACTTCCAGGCCTGGCAACTCATGCGCTGGGCTTCACCCAGCATGCCGCTCAGCTCCGAAACCAACGCGCGACGCCTTCAGGAGCGGCTGCACCTTTCGCCGGACGGCGGCTTCCGAGACCCGTGGGCCTGAGACCGTTCTTGCAAAGCGAACGCCAAATGGCCGACATGGGCTTCTTTCCCAACATGGAGAAAAATCCTCAACCAACAGGATGTCATCAGGTTGCACTCAACGGATCGGAGTACTCCGAAGTTCCTTCACGTCCAAGTTTCCTGTTGTCTTTCTGTTTCATCCTTGCTTCTGTAACCTTATCCAAGCTGTACCGCCTCCTCTCGTTTCGCTCTGTGAATTGACTATGATCAAACCTGTGGCAAGTGTCCTCGGAGCGTCGTCTTCCCAAATGGGCCCAGACGAGTGTCAGTCGTCTTCGGAAGACTCCGCGGCGTCGCCCCCCCGTGGTCTCTTCCGTCCTGCAGGGTCCTCGGTCCCCGACCCAGCTGCAGAAGGCCAGCAGCATCTGCTCGGATCGGAAGCTTCCTTCGTGGTGTTCGAAGGGATTGAGTCAGGAGCGCATGCACGGTGAGCACATTCATGATGCTGATTGGAGCGATTCGACACAGGGACTCAGAGCTGAATTGGGTCTAGGAGGAAAAAGACTCGACGTGTTCATCTCAAATCTTGCCTTTGGAGGGAAACTCCATCACGGTCACCTGTGCCTGGCCAGTGATTATATCTCCAGTGTAACACCTTAATTGAAACAAAAAGCTGTTCAGAAGCTGCTAGCTTGCTAGCTTTCAAAGTTTGGTCGCCTTCGCCGCTATTCCCCCAGACGCGTCCACTGCGCCGTCCCATGGCGTCTGTCTTGAGAAGCACATTAGAACATTGTGTTGAAAAGAAGAGTCTGACGTTGCGGCTTTGCAATACGTTTCATCTGATCAATATTCATAGGCGTGAGAGGCCTTTCAAACTTACCTTCACTTCAACTAAGCTGGATGGCGGTACACACTAGCTTAGACTTGTTGCGGACAATCAGATTGTTTAGCCGAGTTTAGCGCTCCAACCATTGGCCCATCCGAGGTTTGCTTGGTCAGTCTTTCGGCAATCGAATGAGCTCAGTGAGCTTTGACAGCTTTGAGCCATTTAAGGCATTCTAAGTTCTAAGCAAATACACAAGCCTTAGCTGCATTAGCTTGCTTCTCCAAATCGCTGCAGGATTCGAGATCCTTTTTCCGATCGGACATCAAGCTATCAGAAGTGCGGAGTCCAAAGTGCGGCTCATCCAGGAAGCTTTTCTGGCTGAAGAGATCCGATATTCGGTCAACTCGTGGGACACTGCTCTGGTGTTGACACACCTTTTCTTCAACATGTTCTTGCGCTTCAAGCTTGTTCAGAGACAGATTCAAGGACATGTCAGTGGAAGCTCCAAAGTGAGGTTCATCCAAGAAAGTTTTCAGACTGAAGAGTTCCGAGGGTCGCTCAACTCGTTCAGCCTCTTTCAACGGCGGCTCTGCCTGCTCTCCTCGGAGCTCTTCTAAGTGTTCAGCCAGCGTCTTGCGGGAAGATGCCTTGGGGCGAGGGGCCACAGCAGGAGGGCACACCTGATTAGCTGGAGGCGAAGGTTTGACAAGTGCCTGCTCTGCATCTGCTGCAGCACTTGAATAAATTGGTTTGCTGTTTGGCGCAGATGTCAGTGCATTGGAACCAGGTATGGCATGACTGAAATCTTTGGAGTCTTTGAATGGTCTCACACGGCTTGGAGGAGCTGCCTCCTGCACGTCCAAGTTGTAGTGAAGCTCTTGCCCGACCATTAAGTGGCCCTGAACGATCGCTGGAATCCATTCACCAGTGCTCCTAGAGAGGTACTGAACATGCTCCCCAAAACACAAGACTTCATGTTGACCTGAAGGAGCCTCATCGGTTGGCTGGGCCAGGCTTATTTGGCTGGGTGGAGAATCCCTGGGCATTACCCGGCTTGGATGAGCAGATTCCTGAACATCCAGATTGTAATGAAGCTCCTTGCCAACCATCACGTGGCCTTGTACCACGGCAGGGATCCATTGTCCAGTCTTGCGAGACAGGTACATCACAGCTTCCCCAAAGCAAAAGACCTGCTGCTCCTGCGTCATCAGATCAAACGATCTTTCCAGTGCTGCTCACTCGCAACATATTCACTGGCCGTCAGCCACATCACAGGCGGTGCCCAAATTGACAGATCACCACATAGATGGAATCTCTACTTGTGAGAGAGGCAAGGCAAGTTATTGCAGTGATGCAGATTTGACTTAATGTGTACCTACTGAATGTCAATACTACTGGCTCCGATTTCCTGAAATTATCTTGGAAACTCTGTTCGACCAACCGCTTGCAAGCGCTTTCTCTTTCCTGGTTGTCATTATCACTCAAGCTTGGAAAGCAGGAGAGAAAATGCTCGCATTTAGCATGCAAGACGAAACTCATGAGGCCACACATCTACCAAAACAAATTTACATCCTGATTCAATTCAAGTGGACTCTTTGGAAAATAACAATTGACAACTATTTCTGTGAGAGAAGGTGAGAAAAAGAGGGGGAGGAAGAAAAGAGAGAGAGAGAGAGACACACACACACACACAGACACACACAAACACAGAGAAACAAAGAAAGGCAGAACCTTGGACACATCCTACTTTTCTGACTTGGCTCATATAGCCTTCGTATCAATCCTAGCATCCATCCTAGCCTAAGGTTGAAGCCACAATTATAAGAATTAAGTAAAAGAACTGCAAGCCGGATAGCTGCCGGCTCCCCTGCAAACTAACAATTCTCGAAGCATTTAAAATGGCTCGATCACAAGACAGTCCTGCTGTGCCCTGCCCTACGTGCGCACCTTTTTGGTTGGGCAGATTCGGCCGGTTTCCGCATGAGCTCGACGGGGTAGGAGTGCTGCACGTTCAGGGATTGCCTAGTTTATCGAACAGGAATGTCATGACTCATTGTCTGCCTCGAATCACTGGAAGCATAGTGAGGGCAAGCTGGGCTCCAGCAGCATCTGGCTCCTCAAGGGACCATGTGCTCATTTGATCCCTGTCTTGTTTCACCTCTGGATGGCTAAGATTGGAGGCCAGGCGCTGTACTTGCATCGCTTGTCCGAGTAGTAGCATGAGCAAGGCCATGAAGGCATGAGCCCAGGTGGCTCGAAACATAGTTTTCGGTCACTGGTCGTTCAATAAGGCGTGACTTGAGCATGAGAATGCTCTCAGGCAAGCTGTTCAATCTGCCACGTGAGTTTACTACTCCCTCTATTCCCAAGAATGTCTGATCCTCTCCTTCTTTCGCATTTTGTTACAGGAGAGCTTGCACACTAGCCCTTTGATGTCAATTCCAGATCAGAAAATGCGGTTCCCTTCAGATCAAAAACTCTCGTCGCTACTCCGCAAAGGCATTTTGCATCACAATAAGAGGGATATCTTCAAGAGGAGCAATCAAAAGGTCTACCATCAGGAACAAGCTGCAACTCAGCTAATGTCCCCTGTCACGTCACATGTCTCAAATGAGTTGCACATGTGCCTGCCTGTACAACGCACGTGTGTCAAGAAACAAAACAAAGCCCCTCTTCCCGGACCCTCGAATGGGAAGTTGAGCCCTCCTCAAAAGATGCAAACCAAGCTTTAAATCGTCTTGCCAAGCGAAGCTAAACGGGGAAAATGCGCTGTGTTCAGCTAAAATCCGGCAACCGTTGGTTACTGAGGGTTGGCTGGCGTTGCGGCACTGGAATATCCTTGGACTTGGTGCGGGGCAAAACACCAAAAAACGACGTTGAGTTCCTTGTGTGTCATCATAGTTTCATCCATGATGTATGTCCTCCTGACTAAACTATACTAAACTCGTGCTTCAGAGGACCAAAGGCCAGAGGATGCCGAGGCGCGGTCACACGCTCACACACCATGTGGGCCCCTGCATTCATGAGCTCTTGGAAGCTGTCGGCACCGCTGAGCACTCCCACCACCAAGCCACAACCCGCGTTGCCTTGGTCGAAGCAAACCAAGCTAATTTCAAAGCTAACAGGTTCGGGATGACTCCATATGCGGCGAACACTGCATAGACCTGTTCTGATAAAGAAGAACAAGTCTGAAGGTCTGCGCGGATGACCTTTCTCCCGGAACACCAAAAGGTCTCAACAAACATCAGTTTTGAGATCGCCCGCTTGAGGACCACATCGCCGTCGAGGAACGGCCTTCCTGGATGTCCCGCACGGAGTCGCCCACTTTGCAGACACGTTTCACATTCATGACCTCAAAGCGTGTCGAGCGGCGCATGCAAGCGCATCAACAAATGCCACTTGCTGGGGAAGCCATGAAAGACAGAAGCTGCACGTTTCAAGTGAGTTACACGGAGTCTGGGTCATACTGAAATATCGACAACTTATGCTGGATGTCACGTTTGATGCCCGACACGTTTTCCGCACCTTGGTTTGCTCCATGAGGTGGTGGATCATGTACGGATACGGTCGGCCCTCAGTGACCTGGCCGTTGATCTGCGGCGTCGTCAAAAGGTCTATGAGAATGTGGCTGACGTCTCTCGAAACCTATCCCATGCAAACAGAGTAATACACTTCATGTACACGGGACCTTCAACGGCTTCCCCCTTGCTTTTTTCCAAGGTGGTCAATTGCCTGATAGGAGGAGATGTAAGCATCAGCAACTTTGTCAAAGCCCAGGCGCTTGATGAGACCTTGCCTCGGCTTGGGAACAAGAGTCAACCAAGGAACTGTTGTGCAGCCAGGGAACTGGATGTTCTCCGGATAGCCAGTATCCTTGCTCACATCACGAACAGAAACCCGCTTTATTGTTCTCCAGCCGACACGGCGTACCAGAATGTAATGTGCAGGTTTACAGGGGGTGGCTCAGGTTTGCTTTCCCATAAGTGCCGAACAAAAGCAATCTTGATGCCAGCGTCTTTCAGTTGCCTGCTTTGGGCAGGAACTCCCATCCTTGATTAGGGGTGTTTTGATGCTGCAACAAAATCCCAGCCTGAAGTAGCCTAGAAGGCCAATGTCAATGTGGTCAATAGCCTTCGCAAGTTCAAGAGCCCTTCCAGAAAGCATTGAAAAACTTGATTGGCCGATTGAAATCGGTCCAGAAATGGCAGAACCACTAAGAAGAGGGCTGACGCTTCGTTGAAGTAAGCATCATCAATAGCATTCACAAACCTGGGTCTGGAAACAAGGAAGAAAAGAACATTTGCCATCAACCCTTGCTCAAAAAGCACCAGCCATTCCTTGCCGATCCCAGGGCATTTAGCACCATCAGTTTCACTGTTCGTCTGTCCAGCTTTAGGGACGAAGCCAGTCTCCGATACGCGTCACCCGTTCCATCACCTCCTCCGGTGGTGTTCCAGCCTTGCAAAGCTCAAGCTGCGAAAGATACTCTCAATGCTCTCAAGGCGCTCCAAAAAAACGGCCCGTGCTTCAGGCTTTTGCAACGCATCCACATGCAACATGAAACATAAGAAGAAAGGTTACATAATGACTACAGTAGCTTAGAATGGAAAAGAGGCCCAAAAGGGATGCTGATCCTTTTTCGCTGGCTCCAAACTTCAAACACCAATGAGAAAACTCTTTTCTGCCTTCAGTGCAAAGTGCTCAATCACCGCCTCCTTCTTCGCCTTGCACGGGTGTACTGCCATGCAATGTTGGATGAAAATCTGTGCCATTTCGTTCACAGTGAGCAGCTGTAGAATGCTTTGGCAATGTACGGTATGGTGAGCATCTTTCTGTTCAAACTGATGGGACCAAGCGTGGCAGCTGCTTTGATAAATGTGCTGCTGAAATATACTATTGTTGCTGCATCATTCCCCATGGAAGTACTCATCTATAGAAATGCAACTAGAACTTGAATGAATGTCGCGAAACAAGGGACAAGTGAAGGGAAACTTGCCACTGCTGCAGAATGCATCTGAGGAACTCCATGCCAAGCATGCCTGAGCTATGGCTATGGATACAAAACCCTGCAATTACATAGTGAACACCAACTCACTCTGCATGATGTATGGTCCATATAAGTAGTGAACACCTGCAGGGCTGTAACAGACTGGATTGGAAATGTCAAGTGTTCCTTCAAAGAAAAGACCTCGCCACAAGACCTAGCAATCCAATAGTGTAGACCAATCCAATAGCTATAGACCGAGCCACATCTCCTCATCAGAGACTTTCAGCCCGTCCTCACCTTGGAGACCAAAGGAAACCTTAAGCAAAGGACCTGTCTTTATATCCTATATATCTTTCGTTGCTCCATTCACACTAGATTAGATGCTTTTAGATGCTTAGAACAAAAGGGCTGGAAGGCCAAGACTTCATGTTCAGCTGGTAACCAGCATTCTGGTCTTGTTCAATTCGAGGCTTCATAGAGTCGTTCTATCTTAGCAGTGGCTCTCGTGTTCCTGAGGACTCCAGCGCATGGCCCGTTGCAGGGTTTTGTACACAATGCCGCCTTCCTGCAATGCAGAGAATTCGTCCCCTCTGACCGAGAACTTCGACCAAAAGCCGTGGGTCCTGAACCGTGGTGCCGGCCATGTCATAGACGATCAAGTCAATGTCACTCAGCAATGTGCGAGTCGCCTCAGCCACATATCGCGCCATTTTGGTTGCTGAATCGGGGATATTTTGCTTCTGAATCGGACTTTATTCGCCACATCTGGAGGTTTGCTCTTCCATCCAGTGCTTTACCACCTCTAAGCCTGCCCACTCCCCGCCTTCCGCAGCATACTGGAAGAGAGTGTGATCGTCTGTTCCGGCATTGCCTGTCCATCAATCTCTGGTTCTCAGCACAGACGGCACAGACATACAAAGCATAGTAACGATAGGTTTGATGAGTTGGAAGCGCTTGGACCCTTGGAGAAAAACATTTGACTTTGAACACCCTGTTGAGATGAAGTTTACCATTCCGTCATACTTGCCATAGGTCGATGAAGATAATGGTTGAACAGGCCTTGGTTCCGACCAGTCTCTTCACACCATTCACCTGGGATGCCAAAGCGTGCTGGAAAGCATTGCGGGCATCAATCTAGAACAGAAGTCGAGAAGTGCACAGAAGGACCTATGGACTGAACACCTTCTTTGGGCTCTCCTGTGCTTTCTCAGCCACCTTCGCTGCTTGCAATGCAGGCCGGTGCAAAGGCAAACGCCTCAAAAATCAAACAATATACAGAGAATAGCAAACGTGGGACAGGGTCAGCCCAGGCACCTCAACAATCTTGTGACCTGCATGATCAGGCAAAGGCTTGGAGGAGGCAAGAGCGAGAGAACCTATCAATTGCAAGCGGTTGTTTAAGTCCTTATAGCAGACAGCAATATGTCGGAGAATTTCATAAATGCAATTTCGATCCCCTGTGCCATGTATGTCTGATTGCTTCAGGAATACATCATTCAGAGTCAATTCACCTACCGACTGAGCCCATGCTACAGGAGCAAGTTCCCGAGAACAGTATTTGTTGCGGCCGTCCCTCCTTGAGATTTAATGCCTTTGGTTGGAAATTGCTGCCAAAACAGCATATTCTAGATGCATATTTCAAACAAACCTCAGCAAAATAACTAGTACTTAGCTGCTCAGAATAGCCACTCAGCTCTCAAGCCAGCCAGCACAGGGGGAAGTTCGCACCGACTCAGGAGTTGGGCTCAATGTACCTCACAGGCAACGAAGTATCGGAACTCCACAAGAAATGCATGTTTTTCCAAACAAAGGGCTGTCCGACCTGCGTTGAAACCCCCGAAGCCGTGGCCAAAGTCGCCAAAGCCAGCACCGCCAAAGCTTCCAAAGCCATCAGCTTGCCAACTGCAAAGCGCCGAACGCGAAAAAGAACGAGCTTCGAGGGCCCTTGATCGACCAAATCGAGGGTAATCAGACCAAAACTGAACATGGTCGATCAACCCAACAGTTGCAAGATCTTCAAGAAGGACGACATGGTCGATCAACCCAGCATCTACACTTGCTGTCTAATGGACAGCCTGTGATTTGCCAGAGGTAAGAAGAGTGAACGCCCATCAAGCTGAGACAGTCAAATGGGCCTGGTGCCAAAGTCCGCTTGAACCTGACACAAGGCGATCTATCTAAATGAAAGAAATCGTCTTCTGAAAGACTGAGGCCAAAAGGCCTTCTTAAACCAAGCTGCTTGTGGTGAGGCTTCGCTGGTCCCCTCGGCAGAGAGCTCGCCTTGCGAATGGCTCTTGAAGCGCTTGAAGCCCGACTCCACATGCGACCGCACCAGACAAAGAAATCGCTTACCAGAGTGATCTGGCATGATGGCGTCTATTTGACATTTTCCTTTTTGAACTTTGCTCACCTGGAAGCTCACTGTGACGATGTTTGCCTCAATCTCTTGCTCACAAAAATCTGGCATTTCTGCACAATCAGAGTGTAAGCCAGGCCTTTCTTCTTTTTCTTCTTCATTTTGCGCTCTGCCTGCCGAAGCTCGGGGAAGATTGTGTTCTCACAGCTTTGTGCAAGATCCATGTATCAACTAACTAACCAAAACAAGGCCTCCTCAGTTGAAGCAGAGCCCGCATGCCTGCTTTTCAGCAAAGCAACAAGCAAGATGCACAGCTCCGAGCCAATGGGTGTTGACAAAATAGAGTAAGATATTGGTGCACCTGCAAAATGTTCAATTCGATTGCTCTTGGTATATAATACAGGACATCCGACATTATTTGCACTGCTTGCCAACTTCGACGTCAATTGCCACCCCTTTGTTTCAAAAAGACCTGCCTGCTGCTATCACCTGATGGTTCAGACATAGCCATCTTCTCAGAAGGCTTTAGTGTCTTCTCCTCAGATATCTCTGTCTTTGGGTGAGCTTTGGCGGTCTTTTCCTTGGATGCAATCAAACCCATGAGAGTTATGTAAACTGATTGTCTGGAGATTGGTCTAGGCCAAACTCACAGAGAACAGAGCGCTGCCCCCCAGCTACTAAGTCACCAACTGGACGCTTGACAGGCTCTGGCTTTGTCTGGCACAGCTTGTCCGAAGCTTGGCTCATGTGTTGTCTGCAAGCAATCCCTTGGGCCTCCATGAGACCCAAGGCCGCCGCCTGGCGTGGTTGGCGTCGGCGTGGTTCGTTTCTTCAAAAGGATCTCGGGAACAGCACTGTTCTGTTGGCTGTTCTTATTGTCCAAACATTTTGTTCCTGACGTTTTTTTTGCTTGAACCTAGCTTCTGCACAAAGTCAAGACCTCTAGATGGATGGCCGAGTGTGCAGAAGTATGCGCTTTGAGAGACATATCACCTTTACAAGTTCCTTGCCTCAGCCATGACCGCCGCCTTAAATTGGCCGCGGATAGTGCCGGGGTGCTCATTTCTGCTCTCAAAAGGCAAAACTCTTCCGAACACACCCGGCACACACAGAAGTCGCTGCTATCAAATGAAACCGCCACTATAGAGTCTCAAAGAGCATATTTCACCCTCCACCAACCCTGCAAGGTCAGTGAGAGCGTTTGAAAGCCAAAGCACATGCCGGTCAGAGTTGCTGATCTTCTTGGGAGCTTTGTGGCGTTCATCGTCGGAGTCGCCTCCTATGAGCCTTGGCGGAGGATGTCCCACGCTTCACAAAACAATGCTTGCCGCACTGCTTGCCTTCACGCGACTATTTTGACAAAGAGTTTGTGTTGTCCTTTATGTTGTTAGGGTTCAACCTGTTAAACATCAACACGTTCGAGCGGAAAGATCTTCATCTACAAAAGAGTTCCCCACAACTTCATGATCCAAACTCTTGGTTTTGAAATGAGTGCAGATCTTCCCACGCCAACAATTGGCCCCCAAAACCCTATCCTTTACAAGAAGGCTTGACGTGCAGCTCGGTCACCGCCCAAAGCCGCCAAAACCCCAAACCATTGGATTTCGCACGGCTCCACAAAAGTGTTGGACTGAGTCATCTGGGTGGCTGTCTGCAATACATGTGAGCAAACCAAGACCAACTCTCACATTTTTTGTAGGCCTTGTATAGGTCGTTTGTTCTCATTTTTCTCTGAAATTCAATAGCAACAAAATGGCCTTGAAACAGACTGCATATAATTGCAATCGGCCAGTTCGTGAACCACAACTGACTACTGGCTGGCAGAGTGTGAGTGTGCTGGCCATATGTGCAAACATGTTCGTGGTCACAACACTTGTTGTCCCACACAACTAGCGACATCGCTGACCAAAACCAACTCGAAAACTCAGCCAAAAACGGCAGTTGTCGCATGTAGAGTGCAAAGC